ACTGTATTACATAGTTTTCTAGAATTGTGACTGTTGTTTTTAGGTGCCATTGAGTCGGTACCGACCAATAGCGACCCTATGCACAGCAGAACGAAACACTGCCCGATCCTGGGCCATCCTCATTGCGGTTGCCAGCAATGCTGTTGCCATCAATGCTGCCACTTGGCCAATCCATCTCGTTGGGGATCTTCGTCTTTTTCTCGGACCCTCCACCTTACCAAACATGATGATATCCTTGTCCAGCGACTGGTCCCTCCTGATACTCTGTCCGCACTATGAGAGATAAAGTTTGGCCATCCTGGCATCCAAGGAGCACTCTAGCTGCGCGTCTTCCATCACTAATCTATTGATTCTTTTGGCAGCCCATGGCACTTACAATATTCTCCTCTAGCACCATAACTCAAAGGCATCAATTCTCTATGGTCTTCCTTATTCACTGTCCAGCTTTCGCATGAATATGAGGTTATTAAAAATACCATGTCTTGGGTCAAGCTGACATCTTTGCTCTTCAACACTTTAAAAAGGTCTTTTGCAGCTGATTTGCCTAATGCAATATGTCGTCTGATTTCTTGACTGCTGCTTCCTTGAGTGTTGATAGTTGATCCAAGAAGAATGAAGTCCTTGACAACTTCAATCTTTTCTCTGTTGATAAGAATGTTTATTGGTCCAGTGGTGAGGATTTTTGTTTTCTTGACATTGAGATGTAATCCATACTGAAGGCTGTGCTCTTTGATCTTCATCAGTAAATGTTTCAAGTCCTCTTCACTTTCAGCAAGCATGGTTGTATCATCTGCATATCGCAGGTTGTTAATGAGTCTTCCTCCAATCCTGATGCCACGTTTTTCTTCATAGAACCCAGCTTCTCGGATTATTTGCTCAGCATACAGGTTGAATAAGTATGGGGAAAGAATACAACCTTTTGAACACCTTTCTTAATTTTAAACCATTCAGTGTTCCCATGTTCTGTTCGAGCAACTGCCTCTTGGTCCAGGTACAGATTCCTCATGAACACAATTAAGTGTTCTGGAATACTCATGCTTTGCATGTCATAGTTTGTCATGATCTACACAATTGACTAGGCCCTTCAAAGTGATATGATTTGTGACTAGGCTCTTAAAAATGATAGGATTTTTTGAAGAATTTGCAAATGGGAGAGTCTGGAGTCAGACTGAACTTTTCTTATCCTCAGAAAAGTAACTTGTACAACAATAGACTCAATATGCATATTATTTAAAGCATTTGATTCTCTTCTCAATTTCCTTCTAAGCCTTTGTTCTAACATTTAGAAAGTGCCATGACAATTGTGCATTTATACTGAATCCATGTATGTAAATGTAAGTCACACACACACACTTCTGTGTTCAGTGATTATCCTTCCTTTCACCATGGAGCCGTCTTTTCCCACACAAACACTGTCCTCCTGTTCAGATTCAACTTATGCCTATGAAATCAATTATCAGAAGGGACAAACTTAAGATAGAAAAGAAGTAACCCAGGAGAAGGTTATGACAGGAATGAATGCAAGGGTTGTAAGCCATTCCAATCTACTCTGTCCTGTTGTTAGAGCCTTTGGGGTGGATGTAAAAGTGCTAAAGGAGAGTTGTTGTTGTTGTTGTTAAGTGCCATCCAGTTGGTTCTGACCCATAGCAACCCTGTATAGGGTTTTTGAGAAGCAGGTAGTGAGCTTGAACCACCTACCTTGCAGTCTGGCGCATTAACCAACAATGCCACACCAGAGGAGAGTGTGAGTGGCTTAATGTTCACTGATAGCTGCAGTTTATTCCACATAATATTTAATCAGTGTGCTATTTATAATGACTTTAAAAGACTTGAAAAATACTTTCCTGCTTTATCGTGAGAGGCAATGAATGATGAATGCATGGGCTATGGATTCAGAAAACCTGGAATCCAGGCCTGGATTCTCCATTTGCTAGTTATTAGACCCTGGTCAACTTGTGTCATATTTTGTTTGAATAGGATACAGGTAATACCTGGCATGATCTTAGTGAGGATTAAATTAGTTGACCTGTGTGTTTATGTGTGTGTATTATATACAGAATAAAACACAAAGTATGTGTGCACACACATGTGAATGTGAATGCACATTAGTTTAGAAGAAGCTTTTATATGTACTAAGTGCTTCAAAAATGAAGCTTCTGCCCATCAAAGATATTAAAAGTATACTTGTAAAGCGGAGCACAGTGGCCCCCATAGGATTAGCACTGGATTGTCAACCACAAGATCGTCCTTTCAAGTCCTCGAGATTTACAGCCTCAGAAACCCTATACGGGGTTGCTGTGAGTCAGAACTTAACAATAACAACATACCTGTAAAGGTTACCAGATAAAACTTAATGGCTGATTGGCACTTTTAAATTTCAGATTTTCTTGATTCCTCTCTTACATTTGAAGGAGTCCTAGTGGTATTGTAGAAAATAACTAAGCAATGCAACTGGACTGTTAACCTCTAGCTTGGTAGTTCCAACACATCAGCTGCTCTGTGGAAGAAAGAGGAGGTCTTCTGCTCCCGTGAAGATTTACAGCCTTGAAAGCCTTGTGCAGAGTTGTTATCAGTGGAAATCGTCTTGACTGCACACAGCCACCACCACCCCAGGAACTCTGGTGGCACAGTGCTTAGATGCGCAGCTTCTGACCCAAAGGCTGGACACTTGAACCCACCAGCTAGTCCACCGGTGACAGATTTGAAAACCTGTCTCTGCAAAGATTTACAGCTGTGGAAACAATGTGGGGCAGTTCTACTATGTCTTAAATGTCACTGTGAGTCAGAATTGACTCAATGGTAATGGTTTTGGTGTTTTAGGTTTACCAAATTCCCCGTTTGTTGTTCTATTTCTACACAATTGCAATAAACTTCACTATTTTCATTCCTTCCTCCCCACTCCAATCAGAGGCCCTGAGTTTTTCCCAAGTCAGAACCACGGTCTTAATCCAGAATCAGCCAATATACATATTGTTGTTGTTATGTGCTGTGGAGTCGGTTCCGACTCATAGTGACCCTGTACACGGTTTCCGAGGCTGGAAATCTTTACAGGAGCAGAAAGCCTCATCTTTCTCCTGTGGAACAGCTGGTAGTTTCGAACTGCTGAGCTTTGCGGTTCCCAGCCCGATTCATAACCACTACGCTGTCAAATCATTAGAGGTTGATGGATCATATTACAGAGTCTTCTTCCTAAAGTATGTGTGTTCATCTAGATACTACTGCTTACATGAATATCTGATGCCTTTAAGTTGTGGTTTGTTATTTACTAGACTTTTTCTAATTACTGTGGTGTGAGTGTTGACATGTTTTAGAATAGGATACGATACCTAGAAGCAAAATCCACTCTCTCTTTATTGCACTTCTGTCTTGACTGGCTTCACTACCAGCACTTCTCTTCCTTTTTTGATCATCACTCCTTAATCCAGCTTTATTGACTTTACATTGTTTGTCTTTTCAGACTTTCGTTTTTAGTGACTTTTTCTTGGGAGATCATTTTAGTTACTTCCATCATACAAACTCCACATCTGTAGCTTACTTTGTGATGCTGGTTTCCAAATCTCTCAGTTTATTTTGTGTCCTCTTCTCTTCCAGATACAGTTCGGTAGTTCTCTTCTAAAAGTTTCCCGTGTGTTGTATGTTGTTATTAATTACCATTGAGTTGGTTCCAGATCATAATGACCCCATATAGGACTCCTGAATAATGGCTGGTGGGTTTGAGCCACCATCCTTGTGGTTAGCAGTCCACTGCTTACCCTAAAGGCTCTGTGTATATCATAGGCAAGTAAAATTTGAAATATCCTAAATTTCATCTCCAAATGGTTATCTCTTACTCTATAGTACTGTCACACGACAGCATCATCGATCTAGTGGCCAAGCCAGTCATCATAGAATTGCCTTGCATATCACTCTTTCATTCTCCGAACTAAGGAGTCACTAACTTCTATCTTGTCTACTTCCTTAGCAATAGTTACATTTTTCTATTCATCTCTCCATCCTCATTGCTACTAGATTGCCTATCTCTATGTCTTTCTTAAATCCACCTTGCAAACAAATGTCTTTCATTGGGAATAATTAAGTATATTATTCTCCTACTTTAAATACCAACAGCCTCCATGGTGTTTCCTACAATGCAAAATGCTCAGTCCAGTGTCACTCTGTTTATCTCCAAGAATGAACAATTCCATGGTCAAATGAAACAAATGTGCTGCAGTTCAATCATTCCCTTTGAATGTTACAACACACAATACTAAAATAAAGGTCAGAAGAAGTTTTGGCATCAACTATAACAGTAAAGTCTATGTCATAAACTTAAATCTGAACAAGTTTAGTTAACTCAGCATATTATTGATGTGGAAATATCGACAGAACATATTTCTGATTTCACTTCTATGGTTTTCAAAGCCTACCATGCTTACCTCTTTAACCTTACATTTAATATTTGAGACTTTTTAATAGTACTTATTGCATTCAATCAATTCCTTGAATATGCAGCTCTGTTGTATTACAATGCATATTGTTCTTTGGCTAAGAAAGATGCTAATCTATGTTCACTTTCATCTTTGAAAATTCATCTACTTAAAAGTTCAAATTATTTTTTACAATTTCATATCTTCATTGGTTATAATACTGCAGGGCACATATTAGGTTATCAGTGCATGTTAAATAAATAGTAAAATGTGGGACTTAGACGGGAAAACATTTACTTTGAGAGATATTTGATTTGTTACATATGCCTACTCATTCTGCCTCTATATTGATTCTTTGGGGAAGTTACAAATGTTTAATAATACTTGCTCCTATATCTCAGTAATTTAATTGCTGTTCAAATATTTTTATTTTAGCTTGTTACAAGATTAGGAAATGCTATTAAATATAAATATTAGTTCTCACAGAAGAACACTCAAATTTAATTTTTCTAAGTGAGCTATAGCTTTTCTCCTTCCACTGTGGAAATTCTGTTCAGATGATTGTTGTAAATGTTTTCTGTTTCTTCCTGACAGGTAATATTTGAAGCTGAAGTCTCAGGAGGGAGAAGTGGTTATATTGCCATTGATGACATCCAAGTACTGAGTTATCCATGTGGTAGGTTGTGATTAAGAATTGTAGTTTTCTATGTCCTTGCAACACCTGTCTGATATTGGCATTGATTTGATTGTTTTCACTTGGTCACTGCTGTCTTCTTTTGTGGTTTCTCCTCGCTTCCTGTTTAGTTTTAGCTTTTAAATTTTAAATTAACACTGACATTTCCTAGAGTTTCTGAATCAGACCTTTTTTTTTTTTTTTTTTTAAGATTAGTATCTAATTACACATATATCATTTGTTATTGTTAACTGCCGTCAAGTTATTGTCCACCCATAACGACCTTATATATGGCTACCAAGGAGTGGCTGGTGAGCTTGAACTGCTGACCACATGGTTCAAACTGACATTGCAATCCAGTGCATTAGCCTTCCAGTACCACACCAGGACATATAACATAGTAGTTTAAATTATTTAATTACTGTAGACTAATCTAAAGAGTCCTGGTGTGCCTCTGTGGCCTAATGCATGAGACTACAAAGTCGTTTGAACAGTAAGGTGGGTGGTTCAAGCTCACCAGCTTCTCTTTGGAAACCCTATACAGGGTCACTGTGGGTCGGTATACCAAACAGCCACCAGTCGTCTGTCAGTTTGTTGTACTGTGGTGCCTTGTGAGTTGCCATGATTCTGAAAGCCATGCCAATGATATTTTAACTAACCCGCAGGGTTACACATGGTGGACAGGTTTCAGATGAGTTTCCAGACAAAGATAGACTAGGAAGAAAGAGTGATGAACTACTTCCAAATCTCTAGTCACTGAAAACCTCATGAATAGCAGAGAAACGCTCTCAGATATAGTGCCGGGAAATGAGTACCTCAGGTTAGAAGGCACTCAAAATGCGATTGGGGAAGAGATGCCTCCTCAAAGTAGAGTTGATCGTGATCACACAAATGGAGTGAAGCTTGTAGGAGAAAAGCCTGCGGGACCTTCATTTGCTGGTGGGGCACAACTCAAAATGAAGAGAAACAGCTGTAAACATCCATTGAATATCGGAACATGGAATGTACGAAGTATGACTCTGGGAAAATTGGAAGTTGTCAAGAATGAAATGGAATGCATAAACATCAATATCTTAGGCATTATTGAGCTCAAATGGACTGGTATTGGCCATTTTGAATCTGACAACCATATGGTTTACTATGCAGGGAATGACAAATTGAAGAGGAATGGTGTTGCATTCATCGTCAAAAAGAACATATCCAGATCAGTCATGAGGTACAATGCTGTAAGTGATAGGATAATATCCATGCACCTACAGGGAAGCCCAGTTAATACCACTATTATTCAAATTTATGCACCAACCACTAAAGCCAGTGAGAAGGAAATAGAACAATTCTAACAACTTGTTCAATCTGAAATCGAACAAACAGGCAATCAAGATGTATTGCTCATTACTGGTGATTAGAATGCAAAGGTTGGGAGCAAAGAGGAAGAATCAGTAGGTGGAAAATATGGCCTTGGTGATAGAAATGATGCTGGAGAATGCATGATTAAATTCTGCAAAACCAATGATTTGTTCATTTCAAATACCTTCTTAAGACAGTGTAAGAGACATGGACCTCGCCAGATGGAATACATAGAAATCAAATTGACTACATCTGTGGAAAGAAACGATGGAAAAGCTCCATATCATCAGTCAAAACAAGACCAATGGCAGAGTGTGGAACAGATCATCAATTACTCATATGCAAATTCAATCTGAAGCTGAAGAAAATGAAAACAAGTCCACAAGAGCCAAAATATGACCTTGAATATATCCCACCTGAATTCAGAGAGCATCTGAAGAACAGATTTGATAAATTAAACACTAAAGACCAAAGACCAGAAAAGTTGTGGGATGACATCAAGAACATCATACATGAAGAAACAAAGAGTCATTGAGAAGACAAGAAAAAAGGAAAAGATCAAAATGGGTGTCAGAAGAGACACTGAAACTTGCTCTCCAGTGTAGAGATGCTAAAGCAAATGGAAGAAATGAAGAGGTCAAAGAGCTGAACAGAAAAATTCAAAGGTCACCTCAAGAAGATAAAGCCAAATATTACAAGTAAATGTGCAAAGATCTAGAATCAGAAAACCACAAAGGAAGAACACACTCAGCATTTCTCAATCTGGGGGAACCGAATAAAAAATTCAAGCCTTGACTTTCATTATTGAATGATGCAGAAAGCATCAAGAGAAGATGGAAGGAATACACAGAGTCACCATACCAAAAGGAAATGGTTAATGTTCAATCAATTTAAGAGGCAGTATATGATCAAGAGCCAATGATACTGAAGGAGGAAGTTCAAGGTGCATTGAAGGAATTGGCAAAGAACAACGCACCAGGTTTGATGGAATAAAATTGAAATCTTTCAAGAAAGTGAGGTGGCAAAGGAGACACTCTCTCATCTGAAGTGTGGCAACAATAGTGAGGTTGGCCCAGGATCATGCAGCGTTTCATTCTGATGTGCATAAGGTCTCTGTGGGTTGATACCAACTCGATGGCACCTAACAACAACAATGGTTTGGAATCAACTCAACAGCACTTAACAGCAAGAAGAACAATATAATGTCACTTCGTTTTATTTGTTTAGATTGTATTCTAAACCTCTGGTTAGTACATATTTTAGAAAAAGATAGAATATAAGGAACAAGGAAACACAGATTACTAACCACATAGTTATTTTATGCCCTTAGTTTCACATTGGTTGGGCTTTAGATGGCATGACTATATTTGTTTTTATATTGCATTTCCTGAAAAACAGTTAATCCATGCACTCATTAGACTGAGGCATGAAACAACTGGCATAAATTCAAATTTAATCGTTAATTTTCAACAGCAGCATTTTATAGGATCCTTGGGTTTTGGGATTATCTGTTCAGTTTTCCTTCCTGGCGGAAATATCTCTTTGTAAGCAGCATAGACAAGTGGCAGCTTGTGAGAGGCAAGCACTAAGTGACTGCCAAATTCTCGTCTGCATCAGAATTACCTAGATGGCATGAGAAGTCATAGACTGCTTGGCCTCTCACTAGTTCTGATTCGGTAAGTCTGTGCTGAGGAGAGAAATTGCATTTTTAGCAAATTCTCCGAGTTGCTAAGTGGAAAAAAGGATTGATACACTCAGTTGAAAGGCTGAAGGTTCAGATTCATCCAGAGGGATCTCAGAAGAGACATTTATTTCAGAAAAATAAGCCCTTGAAAGCTCTCTGGAACAGAGTTCTATTTTGCCACACACAGGGTCGCCCTGAGTTGGCATCAATTAGATGGCAACTGGTTTTTCTAACAAGTTCCCAGGTGATGCTGCTGCTGCTGGTCTTGAGAATGATTGTTTTAGCTTACGCTCTGTCTCTAGCATTTCTTTGTTGGAAGGTATACTGAGGTCAGGCATCAGAGACAGATGCAACCATGGTGGGCTAGTTTATACATTGTTGTTGTTGCTACGTGCAATCGACCCAGCTCTGACTCACAGCGAGCCTATATAGGTTTCCAAGGAGTGGCTGTTGGGTTTAAACCACTGACCTCACAGTTAACAATCCAGTGTTTATCCTACAGTGTCACATCACACCAGGGCTTCAAATGTATACATTCCATGTGATATTTTTTAAGAATATAGAGAACAAAATAACTTCACACAAAGTTCAAATGAGCTTTCTGATATTTTTTTTTCTTTCTTTCTTTCTTCAATCCATTAGGATAAGGAAATTGTGTTTATATCTAGTATTCATTTTTTCTTTTGATAGTTAGATGTTAAATCAAAGAACAGCTTTTTATGAGTAAACAACCAGAGAGAGCTATGAGCATGGAGTGTGGGTAATCTTCTAGGCGATTTTTTTTTACTTGTTGAGACTTAGCTTGCCTTGTCTTCCACTGTAATATCCTTACACAGGAAAATATCACTGAGACTTACTTTTAAAAGGTTTTGAAGAGAAAACTTGCTTGTCAATTGTATATCCCAGGTACATTTTTACTACTGTCTTCAATTTTGCTGGTCTAATATCTTTGAATAGCTTTCCTAAAGCTATAAATGAATAGGAAATCCTTGTGGCAACAGTTAAGGTGATAATATATTAATGGGAAATGAAATAGTTCCTTGTTCTTAGTGGTGGTGGTGGTGGTGTACTATGGAGTTGGTTCCGAGGCTATCAATCTTTATGGGAGCAGATAATCTTATCTTTCTCCCAGGTGACCACTGGTAATTTCAAACTACTGACCTTGAGGTTAGTACCCCGACTCATAACTACCAGAGCTCCTTCTTAGCGGTATTACAGGGTTACAGCAAAAGTTTGAAAAGAATATCTAGGTGTACAGATTGTTGTTGTTGTTACTGTGCCATGGAGTCGGTTAAGACTCATTGTGACCCTGCACAGTGTTTCCGAGTCTGTAAATCTTTACAGGAGCAGAAAGCCTCATCTTTCTCCTTCAGAACAGTTGGTAGTTTTGGACTGCTGACCCTTAGGTTAGCAGCCCTAATTGTAACCACTATGCCGATTATAGCTGAATAATTCAATGGCTGTGCAACTGTCATTATTTTCAATATTTTTCTTTTACATTCGTATATTATGCTCACATTTTTACCTATTAATCAGTTTTGCTTTGATTTGTACTTGTTTTGTCCTCACCCATGTTCACTATGCTTTGCTGGTCTATCAGTGGTAATTGTGGATTGCTCACTCTGCATAATAATGCTTTAGCAACTTTGGGGACATAGCAAGCGATCTATTGAGAAAACAAAACTGAGCTGCAGAGAGAAATAGTATCTCCCTGTGTGAAGAAAACTGTTTTCTTTCATATGATATTAGTCATAGCCAAAGGTAAATGTATTTAAAACATTATTTTTCGGATAAGTACATGTATGTTGTTTTTGAGTAAAAAAATTTTTTCTTTTTTGCCTTCACAGATAAATCTCCCCATTTTCTTCGTCTGGGGGATGTAGAGGTCAATGCAGGGCAGAATGCTACATTTCAGTGCATCGCTACAGGGAGAGATGCTGTACATAACAAATTATGGCTGCAGGTAAGGCTGAGGTGGCAATGGAGCTGAAGGGTTCTCTGGACTTAAAGAAAATTCACAACTGCACTGTTTGTGATTGCATTCTTTTCTGTGTGTATGTGTGTACATATGTGTGTGTGTTAGACATGTGGAACAGGTTGTCTTCTGGGTGGGCTTAAATTAATTCACAGCAGAGTAATTCAGAAATTCCTTCTTGGACTATGAATTAAAACACTAGAATTTATGATTTTAAAGTATTTGTATTGATCTACAGTGAAACTTAATGAATCTCTATTATTATATACACATTATAAAAAGTATTTCTCTAAGCCCTTTGGAAAGAGAAGGAAGAATGTAGTATTTTTTATTTAATATATATTTTGAACATTAACTTTACAAGAGCATTATACTTAAGGATGAAATGTTAATATTGGGAGATTTTTATTTTATGAATTTTGTAAAACCCTGGGGAGTATTTCAGGAAATGTCAATTGTCAGTGAGCAAATTACAAATTTTGGATTTCTTTTGCATGGAGGTTAATCACAGATCTGAGGTAGATAAAATTACTTACCAAGTTCTCAGTAAATATGTACTTAATTGATTGATATTTAATAAATGTGTTTATGAGCTCTGTTGTCCTCTTTGGTTACACATTGGGTTGCTAACTACAAGTTCAGTGGTTTGAATCTTCGCCTGTAAACATTTACCACCTTGGAAACCCTATACAGGCTTGGAGTTAGAACTGATTGGCTAGCACACAACAGCATCAACAATAGCAAAATACATGTTGGTCAAATGTAAGAGATGGGCATAAATAAAGGTCTTAAAAGGACTACTCCATGCCATATGAGAAAGTTCAAAAATGTATATATGTCAATATTGACAGATGGGAATTGGAAAAGCTGAGAGCCATTCCACAGCCAGGAGGAAAATAAATAGCTGTTGTGCTAATTATGTGAAGTTAATGAATATGTAATACTATTACTCTTCAAGCAACTGTTTTTTATTTGCACTTCTCTGCATTAGAATGAGGAAAGGGATCTAGTTAGAATTTTAAATTCATGAGGATTTCAGTGGAGACCAAAAGTAAGGTAGTATCTTAAAAATAGGTATCATGATTTGTGTTACTGTATCTTTGTTGTTGTTGTTAAGTTCTGTCAAATCAGTTCAGACTCATAAAGACCCTGTGTATGGCTTCCAAGGAGCAGCTGATTGGTTTGAACTACCATCCTTATTAGTCTACTGCTTCTCCAATAGTGTCACACGAGGAATCCACTGTATATTTGGTTTGGTTGTTGTTAAGTGCCGTTGAGTCATGTACCCTAGCTGCGCTGTATAGGGTTTCCAAAGAGTGGCTGATAACCTTGAACCACCGACCTTGCAGTTCATAACAACTCTGTAGTCTAGCACATTAACTAATAGCCAAATACAAGGACTTCACTGTATCTTTGCTGTTGTTCTTGTTGTTGTTAGGTGCCATCGAGTCGGTATCTACCTTATGCACAGCAGAACGATACACTGCCAGTTCCAGGGCCAACCTCACTACTGTTGCCACGCTTGAGTCCATCAATGCTGCCTCTTGACCAATCCATATCATTGGGGGTCTTCTTCTTTTACTCTGACCTTCCACCTTACCAAACATGATATCCTTCTCCAGCGACTGGTCCCTCCTGACAATATGTCCAAAGTATGAGAGACAAAGTTTGGCCATCTTGGCCTCTAAAGGAGCACTCTGGCTGCACTTCTTCCAAAACAGATCTATTGGTTCTTTTGGCAGCCCATGGCACTTTCAATATTCTCCTCCAACACCATAACTCAAAGGCATTAATTCTTATACGGTCTTCCTTATTCACTGTCCAGCTTTTGCATGCATATGAGGTTACTGAAAATATCATGTCTTGGGTCAGGCATACCTTAGTCCTCAAGCTGACATCTTTTCTCTTCAACACTTTAAAAAGGTCTTGTGCAGCAAATTTGCCTAATGTAATATGTTGTTTGATTTCTTGACTGTTGCTTCCCTGAGTGTTGATAGTTGATCCAAGAAGAATGAAGTCTCTGACAACTTCAATCTTTTCTCCGTTGATAAGAATGTTGTTTATTGGTCCAGTGGTGAGGATTTTTGTTTTCTTTACATTGAGATGTAATCCATACGGAAGGCTGTGCTTTTTGATCTTCATCAGTAAATATTTTAAGTCCTCTTCACTTTCAGCAAGCAAGGTTGTATCATCTGCATATTGCAGGTTGTTAATGAGTCTTCCTCCAATCCTAATGTCACATTTTTCTTCATAGAACCCAGCTTCTCGGATTATTTGCTCAGCATACAGGTTGAATAAGTATGGGGAAAGAATACAACCTTTTTGAACACCTTTCTTAATTTTAAACCATTCAGTGTTCCCATGATCTGTTCGAACAACTTCCTCTTGGTCCGGGTACAGATACCTCAACAGCAAAATTAAGTGCTCCGGAATACTCATACTTCGCAATGTTGTCATACCTTGTCACGATTCACACAATCGAAAGCCTTTGCATAGTTAAAAAAGCACAGGTAAACATCTTTCTGATATTCTCTGCTTTCATCCAAGACCCATCGAACATCAGCAATGATATCCCTTATTACATGGCCTCTTCTGAATCCAGCTTGCACTTCTGGAAGTTCTCTGTCAATGTATGCCTTCCGCTGTTTCTATATTACCTTTAGCAAAACTTTACTCGCATGGGATATCAAAGAGATTATCCAATGATTTTTGCATTCTGTTGGGTCACCTCTCTTTGGAATGGGAACAAATACGGATCTCTTCCAATCAGTCGGCCAGATAGTTGTCTTTCCAATTTCTTGGCAGAGATGAGTAAGTGCCTCCTTTGCCACCTCACTTTCGTGAAAGGTTTCAATTTTTATTCCATCAGTTCCTGGTGTTGTTCTATGCCAATTCCTTCAATGCACCTTGATCTTCCTCCTTCAGTATCATTGGCTCTTGATTATATGCTACCACTTGAAAAAGTTGAACATGAACCATTTGCTTTTGGTACAGTGACTGTGTATTCCTTCCACCTTCTTTTGATGCTTTCTACATCATTCAATAGTTTGCCCAGAGGATCCTTCAATAATGAAATCGAGGCTTGAATTTTTTCCTACAGTTCCCCTGGCTTAAGAAATGCTGAGCATGTTCTTCCTTTTTGTTTTTCTGATTCCAGATCTTTGCACATGTTTTGTAATATTTGACTTTATCTTCTTGAGCTGATCTTTGAAAATTTCTCTAAAGTTCTTGTACCTCCTCTTTTCTTTCATTTGTTTTAGCATCTTTATGCTGGAGAGGGAGTTTCAGTGCCTCTTCTGACATCCATTATAACCTTTTCCTTCTTTCTTCTTAATGACTTTTTGCTTTCTTTATGTATGATGTTCCTGATGTCATCCCACAACTCCTCTGGTCTTCGATCTTTAGTGTTTAATGTGTCAAATCTGTTTTTCAGATGATTTCTGAATTCAGGTGGGACATATTCAAGGTCATATTTTGGCTCTTGTGAACTTGTCTCATTTTCTTCAGCTTCAGCTTGAATTTGCATATAAGTAATTGATGGTCTGTTCCACAGTCTGCTCCAGGCCTTATTTTCACTGATGATATCGAGCTTTTCCATCATCTGTTATCACAGATGTAGTTACTTTGATTTCTATGTATTCCATCTGGTGAGGTCAGTGTGTATAGTCATCTGTCATGTTGTCTAAAGAAGGTATTTGAAATGAACAAATAATTGATTTTGCAGAATTCTATCATGCATTCTCCAGCATCATTTCTATCACCAATGCCATATTTTCCAACTACTGATCCTTCCTCTTTGCTCTCAACTTTTTCGTTCCAACCTCCAGTACTGATCAATACATCTTGATTGCATGTTTGATCAATTTCAGATTGAAGAAGTTGGTGGAATTTTTCTATTTTATTCTCAGTGGCTTTACTGGTTGGTGGGTAAATTTGAATAATAATGGTATTAACTGGTCTTCCCTGTTAGGTACATGGATATTATTCTATCCCAGACAGTATTGTACCTCGTGACTGATCTGGGTATGTTCTTTTTGACAACGAATGCAACAACATTTCTCTTTAATTTGTCGTTTCCAGCATAGGAAGCCATGTGGTCATTAGATTCAAAATGGCAATACCAGTCCGTTTCAGCTCACTAATGCCTAAGATATCGATGTTTATGCATTCCATTTAATTTTTGACAACTTCCAATTTTCTCAGATTCATATTTTGTTCATTCCATGTTCTGATTTTCAGTGGATGCTTACAGTTGTTTCTCTTCGTTTTGAGTTGTGCCTCATCAATAAATGAAGGTCCTGCAGGCTTTTCTCCCATGAGCTTTTCTGCATTCATGTAATTTAATTTGAGGAGGCAGCTCTTTCCCAGTTGCATTTTGAGTGCCTTCCAACCTGAGGGGCTCATTTCCCGGCACTATTTCTGACAGTGTTTCGCTGCTATTCATAAGGTTTTCAGTGATTGAACATTCGGAAGTAGTTCGTCATTCCTTCTTCCTAGCAGAGGTGGGAGAAAATAGGTCCTACAGCACTTGAAGATCACTAGGGAACCAGTTAGTGCCAAGAAGCTGACACAGATAAACATCCTTCTCTTAGAATCAATGCCGAGGATAGGAGTCTTTGTGGCACAGTAGTTAAGCACTCAGCTGCCAACTAAAAAAATCAGAGGTTTGAACCTACCAAGTGCTCCACAGGAAAATGAAGAAGTTATCTGCTTGCTTGTTGTTGTGGTTAAGCTCCGAGTTGGTTCTAACTCATAGTGACCCTCTATAGGATTTCCAGTGATTGATGGATTTGAACTGGTGACTGAGTTAACAATCCAGTGCCTATCCTACAGTGCTACAACAGGAGTACAGTTTGCTTCCTACAGCTTCCTGTAACTTTTACAGTCACTATGAGCTGGAATAGGCTCAGCAGCAACAGTTTAATAAGAAGCAAATCCATTCCTGTTATAGCAACACTGAAAAACTAAGTACCCAAATGTGAAGAGCT